TAAAGAAGAACAAGCTCATAGCATAAAAACAACTTCTTTATTAAAAGGTCACATTAAAAACAATCCAGAGGTACCTACAAACAGAGTGCTCAGCCCATAACTAAGAATTTGGTAGCAAAGATTTAAATCAAACACCATACTAATGCATTTCTTGATCTGAGTGTCCTCCTCTCAGTAAATTTACTTTGCTGTAATTAATCCCCGTCCAACATCTTTTGTCTATACGAATGTCATCAGGAGTGATCAGAGTATATCTCTACACGTTGCACTTAAATTCAATGTATTTATTTGTAAAGACATCACTATTGAAGTTAAGCTCAATGTAATTATTTGTAGAGACATTACTGTACTCTGATCACTCCCGATGCTGTCTGTATGGACAAAACATGTTGAGCAGAACTTGAGTACTGTAAAATCAGCATACTGAGAGGAGGCCTCTCACAGAGCAGGACGTGCATCGGTGGGGTGTTCTATCTATCTATCTATCTATCTATCTATCTATCTATCTATCTATCAATCTAGCTATCTATCTATCACCCAGGCCACCCCATGTTAATGAGTAAGGCTTACATAGCACTCCCAAAACTAAAAAAAATCAATAAACACACTGACACATTTTTTGACAAGTTCTTGATTGAAAATACCCCAAAAATGTCCACTGATGTAAATCCATCATCAATTATGTCATCTAGCAATGCAGCTCCATGTCAAATCATGATTAGAAACACCCGCCAACCCATCAGAAGGAAAGAAATCCAACAACCGGGTCAATTATTCACATAGGGGTGCTGGATCTAGGATAAAGGTTTAGTATAGATGAGAAGAGAACCCCTGGTCATTTGTTTACAAACAGAAGTAAAGTAGCTGAAGTTGTAAGCAAAGCAGATGAAGCAGTTTTACTGTACTAGATTGTATACATCGTACAGATGACCACTTCTCAGGCAGGTTCAGGGCATCCTCCAAGCATATAAGTAAAGGAATTTTGCATTTTATTGTTACCCTTTCAGCATTAATAAAAATTGCTGCTCCCTGCTAAACCAAAATTTGTAAAAATGTTTTTTCCTTTGGTACATATTCTACAGGCCATTTGCTTTGCAGTCCTTTGCCTATCACTCTAGAAAATGAACATTGTAACACTTATTGATTTCAATGGAGTTCAAATCTGGCACCTGAATTTCTGTAAGGTTCTCCAACCCCACCTCAAATTAAACACGGTTATGTTTAGCTTATTCCTAGAATAGTCTCGCAAAAATACATCCTAGAACCTTTGAGTCTGGTATGATTTTTAAGGGGGTAGTTCAGGCAAAATATCCACAAAAAAAGCTTGAGGTCCCCCTTGAAATCCAGAACTTAGGGGCACTCCATGAAAAAAATGAGGTACCCCCCCAAAAAATTCATACCAGAGCATTAATCTGAGCATTCATCCTGGCCACATGCTCTTAGCTAGGGGGTCTGCAGGCAGGGCACTGATCAGAACCCGGAAGCCACTGTTAATAATGAGGTCCCAGATACTGCTTGCTTATCTGAATGGATATAGGAGATATAATAACCCTGCTCATTCACAAAAAAAGTAACCTACAAATAAAGACATCAAAACATTTGACGGGTCCGTTATGAAAAAAAAAATTGTCATTGTAAATCCATCATCAGTCATGATGTCCACCGCCCACTCACTTGCCAAAAGAATAAAACATGATGACCCAGCACAAGCAACAGATCCCAATGGTAACATTAGCTGAATTACAGCTCCCTGGGCTGTTATCAGCTGTATAAGAGAAGTTGTAGAGATAGTGCTGACATCATTAATTAAATAGGGCCAGTTAGTTGTTTGGTCAAAGTCGCTGCCCAAATATGTCCAGTGGCCATATTTGGGTAGTGATGTCACTGTTGCCCTCACCCCTTTCTTATGACATCAGTGGTTCCTAGGGTGATTCCAGGGGTGACGATGAACCAGTGACAGCTGGAAGTGGTTGAAATACCACTTCTATATATGATGCATGGCAAAACAAGAGGCCAAACGAGCAAACGTTTGTGCATGTGTCTGACTGTGCCCAAACGGTGACATCCAGCAGGTGTTTTCAATACCTAGGTTCAGATCACACCAGCAGCTCATCCCTGTTTATGATGTAAAAGATTATTAATTCATTAATTGTATATAACTATGGACCTTATCCTCTTACAACTATTAAAAACAATTTGAGTATCTTTATGGAATCTGTACAGGTATCTATACGGGAAATACTTGATTAGTAGCTCCTAAGAGATATCTTAATCTGTATTCATAAACAATATTATATTCAGTTTTTAGTTGAATGGGTAATGGTTAGAAGTTCTCTTAGGTATTGCTATTTGTGTTTCCACTAGAGAAATTCAGCTGTGCTATTAGTCCTGTTGACCATTGTCAGAAAAATGATAGGAAATGCTTTAAAGTGTTACTGAAACCCAGGACCCTACATTCACTATATCTGGTCTCCAACAGTACACAAAACATGGAAATGGAATTATTTTAGTAAATATAAACTGCTATATACCTTTTCTGTATGAACCTCCTCAGCAGATAGAGCAGTCTTGTGACTTCTATCAGTGCCCAGCCGAGCACTGGTTAAAGCTTGTAGGAGGAGTTTTCTCTAGGAGGATGTAGAACCCTTGGCCTCTGTCTAGACAGTGTTAATTGACCCTGTGCTGATCACATGCACTCTCCCAAGAAAAAAAAAAATCTCTCGAGCAATACACTCCAAATTGAGCATGTGCAGTGTCTCCACAAGATATGTCTTATCAGGAGATAAGAGGTAGACACTTGAAAAAGGGGAAGATCAGAGAAGTCAGGATCAAACAGCATTTTTACACAATGCAGGGGATTAACCCCTTAGGTTCCACGGTGACTATAACAAGCATGCTTTACTGCTTATACAGACTGATTTTACTGTTGTGGGTTTAGTAACACTTTAACACTTTAACTATGTAAAGGCCATTTTAATATACCTTACTACTTAGAATTTCTTTGTTTTATGATTTTCTGAAGCATGTGAACATATGACATTTTAGCATTAAAAATCTAAAAGATTGAAAATATGTATATTTTTAACGTAGTATAAAAGTAAATACAGTATATCAACATAAAATAATTTATAAAAATAAAATATATTTAAAAAGAAAACTGAGAACCAGAAGATTATCTGTAAATCCTTAGGTTGGTAACTAAAAATTAGAGATACTAGAGACATAACAGTCTGAATTGTTAGAGTTAACTTTTCAGAATTCCTAGGTATGGAAGTATATGGTTACTGTCAGAAATGCCTATCCTGAGATTTGTCTCTGACAATCCACAAAAAGAACCTGTTAGTAAAAGGTAATTACTCATCCATTATGCCCATTAATTATAGGTGCTTGGTATGGTCATGGATAAATCCTTTTAAAATCTAACTTTTATTTAGGGTATAAAACTCTTACTGCCAGAATGCGGCTGCAAAGGCAGACTCAAATCCCAACTGGTTTCACACATCATCGGAGTTCCTGTGTTGTACAGACTTTGCCTTAGAGGACTATTGTACATAATTGTTCTGCTTCTATGAAGAGTGCTGCCAGTGAAGCCTGGATATTTTATTCCCTAGTTTCAGATCTGCAGTAAAGCTCTTACCTAATATCTTTGTCTGCTTGGGATATTCTACACCCCTAGCACTGAATTCAAAGTCTGCTTCCATTTACCTACATGTGGAATTGTATGGAATAACTTTAAATACCAAGTGGCATAACTTCAGTCAATAGAAAGTTTGTGATGCATGGAAAATTGCTATGAGGACAGAGAAATATACAGTATGTCAGTAACTATACCTTTAATAGGTTAATGTTATTTCAAAAATAATTCTGAAACTTTTAAGATCCACAACTTTAATAAAAATAACATTTGGTAATCCCTTTGATCTTCGTTCAGGCCTTTCCTGTTATATGGTGACAATAGTCTGTCTCTGTCTCCCAATTACAGTCTCTTGCATTGTCACCCTGTTACGTGCAAAATGATAGAGACTGTAAGTTGATGTGCTCATTGTGCAGGCATGTTACCATCAGGAACCCTACCCTGAGCAATAACATGCAGCCAAAGCAAAGTGCATGCATGTAGGCAGGAACAGGGGTGGACTGACAACTCATGGGGCCCCCCAGGCAATAGGGGATCATGGGGCCCCTGTGTCCTTGCCCAAACTCAAAAAAGCCTATGAAAAAGGAACCAGGGGCATCTCATGGGGCCCCCTACTGACCCCGGGCCCTCGGGCAGTGCCCGAGTTTCCAAATGGTCAGTCCGCACCTGGGCAGGAAATGGATGTAAAAGAGGTTGAAAAGGATTTGCATCACTGAGTAAAAAATGTGAAAACAGTATTTTCTAACACAAAAAATATAACAATTTTAATGGTACCCAATGCCCTAAATATAACATTTCAGCCAGTTAGTATTTATATCCACTTTAAACACTGCACACCACTTTACTTTTTCACTTTCATACATAACCCCACTGTAACCACCTATCAGTTTTATTTCTATTATGTGCCCAACTCTTAATTAACCACTTGCCCTCTGGAAGATTTAACCCCTTTCCTGACCAGGCCATTTTTTTGTAATACGGCTCTGCATTACAATTGTGTGTTCATGCAACATTGCACCAATTTGAATTATATGTCCTTTTTTCCCCACAAATAGAACTTTCTTTTGGTGGTATTTGATCGCCTGTGCATTTTTTATTTTCTGTGCTATAAACAAAAAAAGACTGACAATTTTGAAAAAAAAATTTGCTATCAAACATATCCAGTAAAAAAAATGTTAAAAATAACATTTTATCATAACTTTAGGCCAAAATGTATTCTGCTACATGTCTTTGCTAAAAATAAAATCCCAATACATGTACGGTAAATTAATTGGTGTATGTGAAAGTTATAGTGTCTACAAATGGGTGGTATATATACTGGAATTTTTTTTTTTTTTTATACTAGCAATGGCAGCGATCAGCGACTTATTGAGGCACTGCGGCGGGCATTCTGACACTGGGGAGAGCTGACCAACTGCCACTGACATCCCAATGATACTAATACAGTGATCAGTGCTAATAAAAAGCACTGACACTGTACTAATGGCGCTGAGCTGGAAGGCACGAAGGGGCTAACATCTGGGGCCATCAAAGGGTTAACTGTGTGCTGGTTTACTATCTGTGCTGTGTGTGTTTTACTAGGGAAACGTGTTGCTTTGTATTGCTCTGCTATGCATAGAAATACAAAACAGCATGTTGTTGCTGACAGGGGAGAGATATGTATTGTTTACATACAGACCTCTCCCTTATTACTATCATCGCCGCTCACTGGGTGCTGGTGGGGAATCTCCGGCCAGGACCTGGTGATCGACAGCTGGCGCTGCCAATGGTGGCAAGAGTAGGGTGGTGCGTACATGCCCCCTAACTGGAAATGGAAAATCACGTATATATATATATATATATATATATATATATATATGTATGTATGTACGTATGTATGTATGTGTGTGTGTGTGTGTGTGTATATATATATATATATATATATATATATACACGTGATTTTGTGCAGCCCTGCCACCCTGTAGCAGTAGTTTTCTGCTACAGTGCGGCGGGGAACTGACTCTCCCCTTTGCTATTTTTTCACTATGTTTGAAACATTTTTTACCGACAATGACAATGTCTTTAAAAGAAATTCTAGTCCTCCTCAATAACCTGTATATACTTTATATATCTACAGCACCTCTCTCTCTCAATATATATAACTTCCACCCCAAAGGGGAAGTTCCATTTTAAATCATTGTCCTCCACTCCCCATTAAGGATTAGCACCTTTGGGGAGCGGGTGCCCAAATTTGAGAGGACACGTGACAGGTCCCAGAAGACTACTGGGCAATTCACAAAGCGCAGTGCTTCTCGTGCATGCGCAGCGGGCACCCAGCTGTGAAGTCGCAAGCTGTCACAGCCAGGTGCCCACGCCAAAGATGCTGGTGCCAGGGAAAGAAGACAGCCGGGGAAACCACCCATGGTGAGTACACCACTGGACCGAGGGACAGGTAAGTGTCTGTATTTTAAAAGTCAGCAGCTACAGTTTTTGTAGCTGCTGACTTCTTCTTTTATTTTTTTTCAGCTGGAACTCTGCTTTAAAAATGCTGTTAAAGCCCGTCTCTGGGTATGTATATATTTTTTGTATTAAAAGTACCTCCTTTTGATTGCAGCCCCGTTTTTTGTTTTTGTTTTTTTATTTCTCTGCAACCAGTAGAAATCTCTACTCTCTATTCCTCCTTTAGTGTCACTCTGTACTACTCTGTTTATATGCTTCTAGCACTCTTTTGCTCTCTTTATTTGCTTCTAATGAGCATTCTGTCTGTACTGCTTCTCTACTCCCCACAATGTTCCTCAATAATAACTCTTTCATCAGTCCCAAGAGCCCTTTAATGTACTTCCAGTGTCCTGTTCTTTATACTACTCCATTTATAACTCTTCATTGTCCCCTCTGTAGTGCTTTACTTTTATACATTTTCAGTGTCCCCTTCCATATCTTATGCCTTCAGTGAGCTCTTGCATAACTCCTCTCATCTGTCTTCTGCACCCCTCTGTATTAGTCTTGTATTACAGTATCTCTTCTCCACCGCACCCCTCTGTACTGCTTCGCTCTACCACCAGTGCTCGTCAGTACGGCTCCTTTTTTCAAGCTCTGTTTCTCTGCTTTTCTGATATGAATCTCCCCTCTTCATTCAGTGTCCTATTGTATTGCTTTTCTCTGAAGCCATATTCTCCTAAGTACTGCAAACACCATTCCCCTTCAGTATTCACCTTGTTCCGTATCTTTCTTTCTCCTCAATGCCCCATAAATGCACTCCCTTTTCCTCTCCAGTGTCTTGCCAGGGTTTAAGTGGCATTCCAACCTTAAGCCAATGAGAATGGGAAACTCACTTGGCAGTCTTTGGAAGTGGGGAACATGTATGTACTCTTGGATGCAAAAAAATACGTATATATGACCTTTATCTATAACAAAAGACATCTGGAGAGAGGTTAAGGCATGTTGTCAAACATAGCCAAATGACTTTTATAGGTACATTTAAAGCAGAACTTTACCCATAACAACTTAATAAATAAACATTCCACGTTACTAATTAGTGTATGCTGTAAATTACCTCTACAATTGCTCCAGTTTCTTTGTGCTGGAGACCTCCATTTTGCTGAAGTCCAGAACACCTGAGCAGCAGTGAATATTTTAAGCTGTCAGCAGATAAGCCTCTGGTGGCTCTGATTTTAAGCACAGTGTCAAAAATAGAGAGCCACTGAGCATGTGCAGAGCAGGGTATTACTAGATTTTAAGCAGTATAGGTACTTATTTTTAATGTTTTACATACAGTAGCTATATCTGAAAAATGGGCCATCATGAAGTGTTCTAGAAGAACTTAATTTTCTGATTAAAGCTCCACCTTAATTTCTTATATTGATGATTTGTACGTGGCCCCATGGTAATTGCCCAGCACCCCATACCCTTTTTTGACTATCTCTTTCATACTCTCCTTAAAAAAGATCATAATTTATTTTTAAGCCCCCCCCCAAAAAAAAACTTTAATGTGGTTTGGATTTAGTCCCTAACTTTCAGATTTCACAATAGGTTTAATGAATGCCCTGTAAACCAAACTCAGATATATGTGTTTGTCCCTTTTCTAAAAGGGTTGAGTGCCTCTATATAATATATTTCCCAAGCGAGCCTGCTGCAATACCTTAACTCAAAAATTTCTAGTTATCTCATTTATCATCACTGAATTTCAGTACTTGCAAACCTGAGATTTCTAACTTGGGTTTGCATGTTTTTTTGCTTTTCGTTTTTTTTTTACAATATATACTTGTAACACTTGCAAACCTGGAAAAAAGGAAATGCAAAATACAGTCATGATGTGCAGATTAATTCATATTAAAATAATTAAATTGTCAGAACAGCACAGTTTGTTATCTGCTTTATCCAATTACATATATTGTTTTGTTGGCCGGATAACATTGATGTGTAGTGGGTCATCATTCAATGATGATGGATGTACATAAACGACTATCATTTTTTTGAGGAATGGGTAATAATGGGAACTAATGAACCCCTGTATTTATTACCCTGGAGGGTGTAGAAATCTGGGAGCCTCATTATTTAAAAAAGGGGTTCCAAAAACATATGAGTCCCCATTTCAAAACCTCCACATCATTTTGGGGACACCAATAAAATTCTGATAGGAGCTCTGACTCTTTAAAACTCTAAAACCAAAACTTTATTTTAAGTTTTGGATAGATACGCTTTAAGTTATACTGTAAATTGCCTCATTAACCATTATTTTATATTGTTGGTTATTTGAAAACTGGACATGCGGCACCATAGTGTCATCATCCCTGCTCTGGCTCCCACCTCCTCATCTCCTGCCCTCTTTGGCACCCCCCCAGCCCATTCTCTTAGAGTGTGGTATTCTATTAAATATGCAAGTGGCCTTATTTCCCCTTAACTCACACCTCTGAACTTACCTAACTGTCCCTTAATTTTCCCAAGATTTGAGACCCCAGCTTGGTTTCGCTTGAGGACGGAAAAAAAAGCTTTACTAATATGTATTCACGCAGACATTTTATACAGTCACTCCTTGCAAATAAACCCACCTATTTGTTGCTTACCAGGTTTAAGAGCAAATGCCATGCTGATCAACATTTACAGGGCATCATTTCACTCCTGTACTCCTCTCAACTTTCTTTGCCCCTTCTCAAAATACAACCTACATGACAGCTTGGGAATGAGAATTGGATGTACCCATTTCAGAGGAAGACTGGAAGGACATTTGGTCAGCTAGAGCTACTTGCTCACACAGTGTGATTGCACCTGAAAATTATTGCAAGGTTCTTATGCACTGGTATATCACATTGGTTTGTATATCCAAATTTGTCCCCAGACACTCTCCTCTCTGTTTCCAATTCTGTAGACAAGAGGGCACAAGGACCTACATTTGGTTGACCTGCTCGAGGATTTTCAGGCTGTGGATTTGGGTACACACCCTGATCGACACACTCCTCCACTGCAACCTAAAGAAAGACCCAGTTGTGGCCCTGCTACATAAACCTATACAGACAGTGAATAAAAAACAAGCTAAACTAATCACTTTCCTTTTCATAGCCACTAAACAAACTATTGCCCGCTCCTGGAAATCTCCCATACTATGTTTCCAGGAAGTCAAGGCCCGCGTAAATGATTTTATGGTCAATGAGAAATTGACAGCTATACTGGAGGAAAAATATGACAAATTTCTGAAAGTTTGGTCTCCATGGATAGATTACTACCAACCAGACCAGAGGGCACTACAACTGGGATCCCCTTCTTCCTTTCCCTTTCCTCTACTATAGGATTGAGACATTAGACTGCTGTGGCATTCCAAGGTGTTCTCCTCCCATCCCTTCCGCTCACCTCTTTTCTATACCTCTCCTCTTCCCCCTTGCTCCTTCCACTCTTGACTTTCCCCTTCTCCCTCCTTTTTTTTTCCTTTTCTTTTTGGGCTGCTTTGCTATTGCCCTCCATTTTTCAGTTACTCCAGAAAGGTAACCACACTGGTATCCACTCGCAGTCTTTAACATTACAATGAGTTATGCTCTGATATACCCCAACGGTACAGGCTTCTCAGGGCCATTTTCCAGTCATGCTAACTCCAGATTCAACCCACCATCCTCTTCATCATGATGGCTCTATTTGTGGACTCATGGACTATTGTAGTCATGTATGTTTCCTCTTCTGAAAACCGGGTACCGGATAGGGGCATTGTAACCCCTCCTGTCACACTTTGTGCAATTTTGTTATGGTCTGCAATGGTTTTGCAAAAGCTTTAATAAAAACTTATTGAACCAGAAGTTTTACCTTTCTCTGCCAGCTACTGGACATTGGCTAAGATCAGGGGCGGACTGACAACTCATGGAGCCCCCGGGCAATAAGGGATCATGGGGCCCCTGTGTCCTTGCCCAAACTAAAAAAAGCCTATAAAAAAGGTACCAGGGGCATCTCATGGGGCCCCCTACTGACCCCGGGCCCTCGGGCAGTGCCCGAGTTTCCAAATGGTCAGTTCGCCCCTGGCTAAGATTATCTACAGTATACTGGAGATTATAAGTAGGGACTGGATGGCATCAGGCAGTGTATTTTCTCATAATAAAACTTATAGTGAAATTCTCGTTTTGATCACGTGAATTTTATAAAATATAAAATACATTGTTTAAAATATATTACATATAGCAGAAAAAATGTTAAATTAGTTGAGGTATAAAAGCAGCATCAGTAAGTTAAAATAAAAAAATTATACATTTCTGCTACAGGTGTGTTTTTTAATGGATTTCAAATTGCACCTTTTAGAATAATGCAGGATTATAAAAATAGTATTAATGGGAACATAAGTAACAGATTTATTCTTCTGGTTGGTATATGTAACACAGTCCATAGTTACAACTGGCCTTTTAACTATGAAGTATTAGTAAAAATACATGTCTATGCCATCTGCCAAAACATCTAACTTTACATTGGGAATACAAATGAAACCTGTTATTGCTTTAATGTTCCTGTCAGGACTATGCACTGATAGTTTTACATCTTTGCCCAAGGTCAAATGCAACAATGAATTGGTAAAAAAATATAAAAGGATAAAATAAACAGTGTAAGTACATTTTACAATGCTGTGTTATAGAAAAGGAATTTAGATACAACTGGACATGTATAAAAATAAAACTATCCTACTAATCAGTCCAATGTTAATTATTTAACTTTTTGAAAACTCATTTTCATTATTTTAACAAAATATCTTGCTCTATTAAAACTTACTGGAAAAACAAAACATCCAAGTACTTTAATGTTTGTTATATCAATATATACTGTATTTAACATACTGAATAGTTTAACACGCTGGTCCCCTAACTGAGGTCTGTGGGCTGGACGGGGTCCTTTTTTGCCCTTATCCAGCCATTGAGACATTATTCCTTGAAATAACACCAATAAAGATCTACCAATCAACTTCTGTACAACCATCCTGTTGGGTTTTTCCATATCAATCAGTGCCACAGGCTCAGCAGCACTGGTCATTGTATTCTGGCTGCTCAGAAGGCTCCTTGCTGTCAGAATACAATTCCCCCTTTCACAGTGAATGTGCAGATAGGGGAATTTGGTCTTTTTTTAATCAACCTGCTGGGTGAACAAAAAGTGAATAATGTATGGCCTGCTTTAAAAATATAAAAAGATAAGAGTCAAACTCCAGTATTAAATAAAATTAAAAAAGCTTACCTGCTATTATAGATCAAAATTCAAGTGCATCTAGAAATGTGTGAAAATAACAAACCAAAATACATATATAGCTGCTATAGCACAAAACCCTATCTCATATGTGGGCAGAATCAATAAATAAATAAAAATACTGTGCACCGCTACACATAAAAAATATTAATTAAATAATGAATACTATAAGTGATAATTATATAAAAGTCCCAAAGAAATTGCTTCTGAATGGAATATCCTTCCTCCTGTAAATATCTGGTGCTCCAACCACAAAAAAATGTGCAAAATTCCTCCATCAGATGTCTGCTCACCTCCAGCAGTGCGACCTCACATGTACTGTATAATGTTCGGTCAAACCGAACTTTAGGTCCCATAATTGGCTCTGAAGATCAACTTGATGAAAATAGATCCCAATGGCTTGCTCCAAAAACACCCTTCATCGGCAGTATTCCTCACAAATAAAAAAACTTCACATAGTGTTCACTCTTTAAAAAGCTTTATTTAACACAAAAACTTCCACATATGCACTCACGTTAGGGCGCAGCATATTTGAGATGTTGACATCCCATCTCTCACATAGGAGTGGTATAAACTACCTATACTAAACAATCGTCAATCGGAATGACCGTCATACACAGCACAGATTCCCATAAGATTTGGAATTAAATAATTAGTTGACAAATAGATTATAAATCTCTTTCCTGGTGTAAACTTATACAACCACAGATAACACCTTAATGCATACCAAATACATATCCCTACCACAAGAGTAATCAACAATATAATAACATAATATAAAATATATTATAAAATGTATAACCATAACAATTTTTTAACTAAAAATAAAAATAAATAAATATAAATAATCAATAAATTTAATCGGACCATGTGCATGAAAAATTATATATTAATTTTATATATATATATATATATATATATGTGTGTATATATATATATATATATATATATATATAAAATATATACAAAAAATAAATTAAGAATAAAAATAAATATAACAGTTTAAACATTACTTATAAAACAATTTAAGTGAAATTCTTTATTCATCCCTCTTGGGGCCAGAGTCTTAAGCTCATGGATCCAAAAGGACTCCCTTTTACTCAACTCTCTAATCTTATTATCACCACTTCAATTATGTTTACAGGACTAAGTCTCCCAAAATTGCAAACCTGAGCAATCCTTATTGTGTATATCCAAAAAATGTCTAGAAACAAAATGTTTTGGAAATCTCTTACTGATATTGTGAACATGTTCCTTCACCCTTTCTTTTAGAGTCCTCTTAGTGTGCCCCACATATTGAAGCCCACATGGGCTGGAAAGGGCATAGACCACTCCTGCCATATTGCATGATACAAAATATTTAATTAAATACTCCTTGCCTGTTGTTGAGCTAATAAAAGACGCTCTTTTTTTGTTATTATTCTTAACCCTAGTGCAGCTATAACACCATCCACAGGCAAAGAAACCTTTACCCTTAAAGAAAGTGAAACCCGATTCCCTCGGGGGTTCCACTACATTATGGACCAATTTTATCCCTCAGAGTAGGTTTTTTTTTATATATATAAACCTAGGTATATCTGAAAGAACAGAATTAAGATGTTTATCTAATTTAAGTATTGGCCAGTATTTCCTAACAATGTGCTCCACTTGTTTAAATTGGACATTGAAATCCAGAATAACTGATACGAAGAAGTTCTGTCAAGACATCTTACTTTCACTCTTTCAGATTCTATAAAATGTGGTTAATATCCCTTTTCCTTAAACCTATGTGCCAACATTTGTGACTGGTGTAAAAAGTTCTCCTCTTTGCTACAATGTATTTTTAATCTCATAAATTGGCCCCTCAGCACACTGCACCAATTAAACTTCTGCAAAAGCTCATTTAACTTATCTACTACAGAACTGATCTACATAAACCCACCAGCTCCACCAAAATCACATCTGCAATAGAGCTTGTCAACAAAATCAAACTAAAACTGTGAGAACAATTGTAAATATGTACATTTGTAATATTCTAATAGAGGAGAGTATTGGGATTGAATGATTCTGAATTGGAGGACATTTTTTATAAATTAAAGTTGTGAAAGAAAGAAGGCATAATACAAATATTAAAATGTAAAATGCAATTACAGACAAAAGTTAAGATAGGACCAATTTCTAAAAGAAAAAATGGTAAACAGCAAGCCATAGCCATCTGGACAATAGCCTTATTTATGTCCAGTACTCTAAACACATTATTTCTATCACGTATTAACAGCATTCAGCTGTTATAATGACAAAGATATAGAGCTTCCTTAACTAAAGTTTAGAAATGCAATAACATTCTCCTTTTTTACACTCTTAATGGTAATCACGCAAAGAATGGCATAAACATGTTCTGATTGGCTTATCATGCATGAATATGTAGTGGAAAATGGGGGAGGGCATAGTCAGATGGATTTATTGCACTGGTAAATCTCCATGAACAAAATGGTGGTTCACTACATACCTGATTGCTATTTGATCTGAGGAATTTCACCTGATAAGCCCAAAATTGACTGGATTGGAGGATTTATTATTTCAAATTTATAGATATTTAAAGTTGATTTAATCTGGTGACACATACTGCTGTCTGCTCTCCCTACTTCACCACTAAGGCTTTATGCAGCACAAATACTGACTACTGCTCAGATAGAGACCGGTGCACTAACAATATACAGAAAGCATCATGTAAGGTTACTCTTTGTATCATTACAGTAAAACTCCATGAATGTAACCAGTTGAGAAAAAAAGACTTCACTGAAGCTCAGTTAGTTCAAAGTTCTGTTTGGTATATTAAGCCATAGTAGAGTAGAGTAGGCAAGGGTTATAATTGTTGTCAGCTTTTATTTGCCTGAGTACCCAATTAGAAAAGTACTTCTTACTTCCTTTCTGAGTGACACACTGTTATACTCTAACACATAAGGTCTCACCAAGACAAGAAGCAAGAATACATCTCAAATCAATAAAAAAAAGACCTCAGCGCCCAGGACCTCCTTCCCCACACACTTAACCACGTGAGATGCTGCTGTGCATAGGTATAAAACAAAACAAAAAAAATTTTCAACTAAAAACAGCGCAAAACACACCAGAAAGCAATCTGTAAAATACCCAACCTATAAGTAATATTAATGCAAAATATTACAATTTATATATCAGTGTCAAAAAACAAAATAATTTGTGGCACATACAAAAAACAAAAAAAAATCCAGTGACATGTCCAAAAAAACGTCCCGTGATAAAAAAACAAACTTATATTTTCATAAATTTCTTCAGTGCCAATAATATTCCTCCACCATTCACCAGTGCAAAACCAACATGAACCGCACTCACCAGATGTTTGGGGAGTATAACGCCTTTCAGGATTATTAAGGGCTCCTGGACCCCTTTTTTAACCTCCAAATATTGCCTCCTCTAGAACATAGAAACCTCCTCCGATTCCTCCCCTCACCGACTCCACCAAAATTCAGGAAGAAGAAAAACCAAATAGCGTGATACCGTTATGACTTTCAATCTTAATAAACTTTAAACCAGACCACTCACATTTTAAAAGATATTAACCAGCATTTTATTGTTGTAATAACGATTTTCCATAGATTTTCTAGTAAGACCCCACAGCCAGG